TGGGAGGGCCCGGTTTGGGCAGAGGGGCCTGAGCGGGCTCCTGGGTGTCAAGTCAAGGTAGATGACCTTCTGGGGCCGGGGTGCGCCAGGCTGTGCCAAAGGAAGGTCCCCGCTAGCCACCTCTGGACCCTCTTGAGACCCTTTTCTGTTCTAGAAGGGGGGGGGGAATTTCGAGGGTAGTCTCTGATGCTGAAAGAAACAGGCAGTGGCACTACCTGGAGGAAGTGAGGGGCTTTCTATCTGTAAATCTCTCCCTCTTGCTTATTTGTTTCTCAGTTACAATTCCTAATTAATGCCCATTTATATTGTAGGTTGGTGCTTGGAAATATAAAGTCTTGGAGATAGCTAGCAGAGGTACTTGGGGTTGTGCTGAAAATGCTGGGAGAGAAAAAGCAATTAATTGTGAAAAGAGACCTTTACACAGATCCCACTTTTCCAGCCAGTGATACCTCTATATATTTTAATTATTGTACCCCACTTGCACAATTCAGAGGCGAGATCTCATGGTTGAGACCACAGGTGAGTTTTAAGATAGAAAAGCCTGAGATTTTAGGAGAACTGGACTTAATGATAGTAGACGGTAGTTAGCGTTGAGTGATTGCTTTTGACTGTGTTTGTTATTTTGAAACATAGCGATGATAAAGGCAGTGCATGTCAGTGTTAGCAATTTAAGTTATGATTTTTAAGTTTTGTGTACTTGTTCATAAGTTTGACTTAAATTCTGATGTGGAACTTCTGAATTCCATGGCGTTAACAGCAGTTCAGATATTTTATTATCAATATATTTCATTATGCAAATATACATGTGAAGTTAAAAACAGTATTATGTCACTCTCTGCTTTTTTAGTATATTGCATAACTGCTTGAAAGCAGATAGTTGGATTTTAAAGGTTGTCAAAAGGATATTGTTTTTTGCCGTTACTGAGGAATATTGTGCTTCAATAACAAAAGAGAAAGCTGTATGTTTCTGTTAAGTTTCTTACCTGTAGTATTGCTTTTAAACTGTTATTGCTGGATTTCAGAGCAAGCCATATGAGAGCTGAAAAGTTAAGAATGCATTTCCGCAGTACATTCTTTGAAACTAAAATATTTATGATACTGCTTTAGATGTGTGAAAAAAGTTAAGGCTATAAAAATGTAATGGAGAGAAAAAGTACATTGTCTCTGGTTGTATTATTTTTCTCCCCTACCTCTCTTGATGGTGGTAGAACAGTGATGGAGCCGCTGGCCTATGTGTTGATAGATATCAGAACTACTGAAGAAAAATTAAGCTAATTTTTCTGGTCTCAGTGTGGCTCTCATAATTGGATTTTCTGAGCAAAATTTTTTCTTTTTTTCTTTTTTTTTAAAGCTTTTCTTAATTTGGCCACATAGAATTAACAAACAAATGATTTCACAGAGCCCATTGTGCAACTTTCTGCTTTTCTACCTTACACCTTGCTCACTGTTGAGGACTGATTTCCATCCTTTGAAGCATTTATAGATGTGTGTTGTTAGGACTTTTCATTTGAAATCATCTTTCACTGCCAAGTAATCTATTTTTTATTGTCCTAGGAAAGGTTGTTCTCTTATGGGAATTTTAAAATTTGTGTAGCTTGCGATATGCAATGCTGTGTGAATGACCTCAATTCTGTCACCGTCTAATATCTAACAAGGAGCTGATTAACAGTGTCATCTTTTGCTTGCTTACTGGCCTCTCTGTTGAGGTTACTCCTGATGGTGGCATCTATTTAGTAAGATTTCTGAGGGAACTGGACTTACCTCACATAAAGCACGGACAAAATAGCCACGAGGCAGTAGTTTTGTTACTGCCTGCCTAGGCAGCGTCTAAAGAAGAAATGTTGTAGAGGTAAAAGCTGCCTTCTTTTGTGAGGAGTTTCTAGAGCCTTCCCGTTCCCTGAAACAGAATCTTACTTGTGTAGGATTTAGCTTTAAGTCCCTTCTCTTTCATTTTAGGAAATTTGTTCGACCCCTCGGTTATTTTCAGACAAGCCACAGGATGTGCAAGTAAAGCAAGGGATTTTGGGAGACTGTTGGTTCCTGTGTGCCTGTATAGCCTTGCAAAAGAGTAAATACCTACTAAATAAGGTATATAGAAGTTTCTTGTTTTGCATTTCAGAGGTTTTCTTCATCTGATTTACATTTGTATATTCTTCTTGAATCTATAGCATCCTGAATTTTCTTATGCTCAGCTTTTACTGCTTTTGTTGTGATTTTTTTTTTCTTCTATGCTTTATTCCAAACATTCAGTACATTTTAAAATGTTGATTTCCTTTACCAAAAGGGAAAAAATCACTCTTTGTCTTGACTTTGGCTTGTGTCATCTTTTTTTCCAGGTAATCCCTCCAGGTCAGCCTAGCTGGACAGATGAGTCATATCAAGGCTGTTTCACTTGTCGAGTCTGGCAGTTTGGACACTGGGTGGAAGTAACCATTGATGATCGCTTGCCTTGTCTTGGTGGTAAACTCTGCTTTTCCCAGTGTCAGACGGAAGATTTGTTTTGGCTTCCGCTATTGGAAAAAGCTTACGCGAAGTATGTGAACACTGTTACTGCGGGGAGTAAAGGGAGGTAGAATACCAGTTTACCTTATCTTCCCCTCATGTATTTTATCTGACTGCTTTGAGGGTATTTAGATTTGCCTGTAATTCCATATGAAGTACAGTGGGTGCCAGTTTTTCCATGCTGGGGTATGTAGAGGTCTCTTTAAACTGTAAATCCGCAAGATGCGTTTCTAACTGCCTGTAGAGTAAGATACTTTTACTGAGAGAACTAGGGTGAAAAGTAAGAGCTGAAATTCATTATTGGCTTATGGATTTAGATGGTGGTCATTAAGTCACTCTCCATTGGTCTTCTAATTTATGAAAGGCAAAGATTTTACTAATGCAGTATTTGAGGGTAGCTGAGGGCTCAGTGAAAAGCAGTCAGTCAGCTTGTAAATATTTTCACTGAAAGCAACAACATTACACCACTTTATGCTAGTTGAGGCTCTGCCTGTTTCACTGCTGCTTTCCGTCCCTTGTCTTTTTTTTTTTTTTTTTTTTTTTTTTTGGCAGGAGTTTATTATTTGTCAAACGTGTTAACAACATGTGTTTTTTCAAATGTAGCAATTTGAAATTTTATGAAACATCTAGCAAAATGCTGATGTTTGTCCGGACAGACAAAACAATTTGAAGACGAAACATGCTGGTAAGATAGGCACCAGGTGTCCAAAAGGACTTGGAAGAAAGTTTGTGGTTGCCAGCAGAGGGCAGAAAAAGACTTTAAACATGAAGTAATTTCCTTAACTGTGGATATGGTGAGCCTAAGCTGCGAAGCAGCTAGAGCATGTTAAAGCTTCTCTGTATTGTAGGTTTGAAAGGTAGTATTCTTTATTTGCTTGTTTTCTCTAGAATCTTATCATTCTATCTTGGTAGTCTTTCTCTGATGTATTTTGCTCTGTTTTGCAGTCACTGCATCAGATAGGATAGTCTCTGGATTTACCTAAACTTTTGGAAGGAAGCACAAGTTTGGTGGTTTGTGCAGAGTGAACAAAGACTAATAATAAGAAAAACTGTTATTTACTTATACAAAATGTAATTGTATCATGAAAGATGATGTAGTACACAGATTATAAGGTACAAGCGACTAGAACTATGAGCGGTTTCTGTATACGAAGGAATACATTTTAATAAATTTCCCATCAAGCAATTAAATGTCTGATGGCTTGCATACTATTTTATTTATAGCATATAACATATGAAGAATATGTACTTTCCCTTGCCTGCTAGGGTATGAGGTAGGGTACAGTTGTGGTTAGAGTATGGAGCAGGATTGAAAATATGCAAGAACCACGTTTATTTAGTTGTGATGTTCACAGAAACTTTTTTTCTTTCTTTTAAATAGACTGCATGGATCTTATGAACAATTGTGGGCAGGACAGGTAGCAGATGCTGTAGTTGATTTGACTGGAGGTATTGCTGAAAGATGGACCCTGAAAGACCCTGGAAGAAACATGGAGAAAGAGAGGACTGGTATGGTTTTGGAGAAGATGGTGTTTAGGAGATTAATGAATCTGAAAGAACAGTGTGTCATAAGCTGCTCCGTCCTCAATTCCAGACAAGGTAATAGTAAAGTTCTAGGCATCTTTAAGTTAAATTCTCAATTTAGCAGTATTCAGAGTGCAAGACAGCCAGTAGTTGTGTAGTGCTAATTCTGCTGCTATGTGAGTTTCATGGTGCAGTTATATCTAACCTTATTTAAATAACGAATTAAGGATACTATTCAGGTTGGGGCGGGGGTTATACAAGATGACTGGGAAGCTAGTGTGATCAATTCTCCGGTGAAAAAAATGAATTTCATCACCAAGAGTTTGTAGAAGCTTGAAGTCAACAAATCAGTTAATGCATTTTAAAATTTTGAAGTATTCTATTTCTGTGTGTTCACAAATAAAATGAGCTGTTTGTTTTTTTTATGCTGTTTTTATACTGATTTAATAACTTTAAAACTCGAAATTGTTTTCTTTCACAAGACAGTTTAATGGCTTTCATTGGAAAATATTGGGTATGTTCTTTTGTTTAGCTTCTAATGCTATGCTATTTTTCTGTTCAGGCGCAAGTGAACTAGGAGAATTTCATGCCTTTATTGTGATAGACATGCTGAATCTTCCTAAAGTGTCAGGCAAGGAAATCTTCCTACTACGGATACGAAACCCCTGGGGGAGGCGATGCTGGAAGGGTCCCTGGTGTGAGGGGTGAGTAGGTTTATTTTTATTTGGAAAGTCCTTTGTGAAAGAGTTCTGAAGCACAGAGCATATCTATGTATTGCAAAGGTGAATGTTGCTAATAGACTGTAGTGGAGGGGAGAGACTTTGGTTTATAGGTAACCTTTTTGAGAGTTCAGTAGTTCATACAACTCTTCAGTTGTAAGAGTGATCATTTTGATATGTTACTTCTGGTAATCTCAATTTTTTTTAAAATATTGAATAGCTTTTATTTACCAAAGCATCGTGCTTTTTTTTAAGAGATAAACTTACAGGCTTAATATGTTGGTTTTATTTTCTTCTGTCTCCCATTTTTGTTGGGCATGATTTTTGTCCTTTTTGCTCTGCGGTTGGTCTGAGGAACTTTGCTCAAATGACGTTTGTGACTTGTAGTCGCTCAGCCACGCTTGGATCTTTTCATTTTATCTTGTCTCAGAGTTGCCAGAGATAAAGAAGAGTATACGTACAAAACACGAAATGTAGCAGAAGGAAAGATACTTGTGTGTTCTGAAGCTGTTGTTGCTGATGAACATGAGTAGAAGAAGTTGGAGTCAGTGCAGAGTACACGTAAAGAAGAGATATGTTTTAAAGGAAATGCAAGACTGTATTTAGTAGTCAAATAGCTAGCAATAACAAGAATGAAGGGGCAGACCCTATTGGTTTATTTAAAAAATGTTAGGATATTTAGACTGTGTGAAAGAACGTTCAGTTCCTGACCCAAGGACCTTTCAGCATTAAAATATGGTAATATGATGATGTTAATAAGCAGTTTAGAGAATTAGATTTTTGTGGACTTCAAAAGATAATTTAATCATGTTAAAGGATGCTTAATGTATTTTGATTTTTGTTGAGTTTTTGTTATACGCTCGGTCTCTTGTAGTAGTTTGATTGTCAAACAGTAACTCGCCAAACAGTTGCAAGAGGATTGCATTTCATTGAGCAGCCTTAGAGCCCAGTCTTAGTCAAGTGCAGAACTCCACTTTGTTGCTAGCGGAGCAAATAAAAACGTTGAAAGTACTAGCTTTTAGTGGGCCCCAAATAATTAGTTGTTTAAATTCTTGGTTTATCATCCTGGCTTAGGTTTATCATCATGGCTTGGGTTTATCATAGGGATAACCTGCTGCTTGCTTCGTATGAATAGTGTTTGTTCATGTTCACTGTACAGGATTAAAAAGTCTTCCAGGCTAGTCACTGCGCAGCTTGGTTCACTTCTTTCCTCGCTGTTTTTAAAAGCTGTTAGAAATCATTGTTTTGGCTCATGCACTTTGGACACTGTACTGTCCTCTGTAAGCAAAGTAGCTACTTCACATGGAAGTATGGTACTCTATTCCATCTGATGCTGGGTTGGTTTCTTTCTAAGTTTTCTTTCAGATGTTGTGATTCCTACTTTCTGTTGTCCATCTCACTCACTAGCAGTGTGTATGCCGGAAATATCGTATGCAAGTATTTGACAATAAAATGAAGAAACCTATTTTTATTGTCCTGCTACACAGAATATTTGATAGAAGTAAATAATATTATGGAACTTTGTGGGCAAAGAACTAACTTTAACTTCTGTCTTATTATGTGCAGTGGTCAAGGATGGAGCCAGCTGGATCCAGTAGCTGCCTCAGAAATGCTCTCTCAGATCCAAGAGGGAGAATTCTGGGTTGATGAAGAAGAATTTTTTAGGGAGTTTGATGAGATTACCGTGAGTTTTCCCATCAATGAGGAAGGTCAACTTCAGAGCCTCTATACAGGTGTGGTATATAAAAAGATCTTTCCTGTACAAATAATTTTATTTCAATGGGAGAAACTAATTAGAATTGCAAATGCTGTAACTAGACCATAATTTCTCTTTGCCAGTCTTTCCCTCTGTTCCTGACCTGTAGACCTTTTCTGTCTCTACTGCTGGGAAGAAAAGAGGGACAAGGATATTGCAGATCTTTAGAGGAGTTTTTAATTTTTCACTGAGATCTAGTTACTTGCTAGTGTGAAGATTACCCTTCTCTCTAGAGGGCTGCTGTTTTGGAAAGCCTTGAGTGTTTTTTGGTTTTTTGTTTTGAGATGAAAGATAAGCTTCAGATTTCTAAAAACAGCTTGCTTGTTACCTCTAAAAATCATGTCCTCAATCTGCCATTACCAGTTGTGACAGCTATTCTCGTGGCTCTCAAATCTTGGTCATGAATATTTGTTTGGAGAAAGCATCAGGGTTGTCTTGCAGCATTTCTCTCTGGGCTGGGGAATCTCTGAAAAATCTGTTACATAAAATTAAATAATCTCCAGTGGCTGAATTCTGCACCATGTTTTTTGTATTTTGTTAGAGAAAGTGCTGTTTCACTCTCAGAATCTTTTTGGATCCTGGGTGAGAGGCCAGTCTGCGGGTGGCTGCCGTAACAACAGCAGCTTCCCTACCAATCCTAAGTTCTGGCTGAGAGTGTGTGAGAAGAGTGAGGTGTGCATTGCTCTGCTGCAGAAACACAGGAAATACAGTCCAGACTGGGCTGGAAGAATTCAAAATCTGACTCACTTAGCAGAGGAGAATCTATCTTTGACTGAAGGCATACAAAGAAATATACAAAGAAAGAATTATCAGGCTGTGGGACTGCATGTGTGGAAGGTAATTTGGAAGTGACGTTTTTCTTTTGGCAAATGGAAGTTTTAAACATTACTGAAACATTTGACTAAATCATTCATTTTCTACGACAGTGATATGGTTCAACTGTTCAGATGTTTTACATCTGATTTATGTTAGAATGATCCTGTTCATCTCATAAAGCAGTTACTGTCTGCACAACCTATTAGTGGACTAGCACTTTTTTCTCATCTCTGAGTGCCAAGTAGCAGTACTTTGGGGACTGTTCCAAATTAGTGCATGACGCTTCAGGCTGATTATTCGATCATGATTCCTAAATCTCCTTCTCCTGAATATTAACTTTTTATGTTCCCTCTGATGTTCAGCTTGTTTGCTGGTACTCTCTTCCTTACTTTTTCCTTCTTGTATGAGTGTGCCAGTGTAAAAATGGTTTAAACAATATTTGATCATGTTCAATTTTATAAAAGCTCGTAATTTTTCCTAAAACACTGTGCATCATTATGCATCTATTCTAGGTGGAGAAGAAGCGATTTAACCTTCCAAAGACCCTCTCTGCTCCTCCAGTTGTAGGTACTGTATGCCATTCCTATGACAGAGAAGTACATGTATGCTGTGACCTTTCCCCTGGGTATTATCTTGTTGTTCCCAGCACTTTTCTGAAGGATGAAATAGGGCATTTCTTGCTTCGTGTGTTTTCAACGGGAAGGATCTCTCTCAGGTAGGTTTTAAAAGAAATAGAAAATTTCATAAAATTCTTGGCATGAACACGTACATGAATTATGGCACTATGTGTAAATGTTCAGAATGATTTGAAAGTTGTGCCGAGTACTAAATTACAGCATTATTTTGTCTTTGAATTCAGGTAAGTAGTCGCTATCCCCTTGTTTTTTGCGTGAAGCTGCTATTACCCTTTGTTAAATACCTCAGAGTGCCTCAGGGCACTCTATGGAAGTAGTTAGATGAGTTGCATCTTGACTCCAGCAATTGTAGCGTAGTATTTTGAGAAAGTTCATGTTTCCTAAAGGAACTGAGTAACTTTCTGCAGAGCATATTTCTCAATATGTGGAAGTTGGTTCTTCATGTATGGAGAAATTAAGATGTACCGCAGGAGTTAAAAGCCGCTATTATTACTACAATCGGTGACAGAAAAGGAGAGCAGTAAGTATATTATCATGTATGCTGGAAAAAATCTTGGCGCACATACTAACAAAAAAGTGTCTGACACACAATATTGTTGACAGCAAGCAGTACAGCTTTAAATGCAAATGGAGCATTAGCAGCAGACATGGATGACGTAATATTCTCGGCTCATCCTCACAGGAGAGGCATGGAAAATAGCAGTGACCTTTACGCTGTTGTCTTTAGTGGAATGAAGAATTGGATTTTGAATTAAAGCATTCAACACTGACAGTACAACTGAACTTGCTAATTGTGAATGCCTAGAGAAGTTTCCCACCATTATGATAAAACACTTGGAAGGATCACTGCATACTGTGTCCTGTCCGATCTTTCCTCATACCTTGTAACACAAAATAGACTTTTATAATGGACTTGGAGCAGTCTTTCTGTAAAGCAATGCTTGCGGATCCAACAGGAGACGTAAGCAATGTCAACCATGTAGCTTCTGATCGATTCTAATTTTTTTGACTGTAGCAGACTACAGAGCTATCTCAACACTTTTAAGTCAATTATTCATGAGCAATTATATGACCATAGCCTTGAAGTAAATACTTAAGAAGATATGGGGATGAGTATTTGTGTGGAATTAGCAAAGTTATACCTTCATCCAATAAAACTGAAAAAAATCTTATCTAGCAGCTTGCACCAGGTAAGCCATATACAGAAGCAAAATGTACCGTTGGCAACATGTTTAAAAGATGTTAACATTTTTTGATATCACGGTAATACGCTGTCAAATCAGACCTCCTTGACAGCAGCTGGCAAATCATGCTACAAAGCCAGAACATGCATTAATCATTTACTCTGCAGGATTTGGAATCAAGATTTAGACCACATAAAGGTCTGCAAAACTATGATGCTAATTTTGCTGAACGGGTGCCAGACTTTCTATCAGCAGTATGTAGTTTCCAGACAATGTGCATCTGTATAGCATGTTGCACTTTAGGTGATGGGATAAAATTTGCAGTAATGGTGTGAAGTATAACATTCTTCCCGAGACTAAAACAGAGGTGCCGGCATCGATATGTGTCTAGAATGGACAACCCTAGAACATCAGAACAGCTGTTAACGTGTTCTCAACAAATGTGTTTCCCTGGAACACTGGAAATAAGAACAGATGAAATGTTTGAAGTTATGCTGAAGTGTGGTTTCAAACACTACAGAACTGATATTGATACTAAATAGTTTCTTGTGGTTGTGAGAAGCAGTGCTGAACTAAGAGCAAAATGTGGGGTAATGTTACAAAGAGTGATGAAGTCAGCAGGCAAAATGGTAGTCTCCTCTGGTTAAAGATGTAGTGTTTTTAAAAAAAAAGAATGCAGTTGCTAGTTTGGTTTTACTGCTGTGGTCATGTGTGCTCAAGACACTATAACTGCGTCGCTTTCAGCTACGAAGAGCAGCTTAAGAGTACTGAGGAAAATGTGTAAATTGCATTATTGCATGATTGTACAAAAATCTATGTGGCTTTAGGGGAGAGTGTGCGCATGCAATGTTGTTCTTTTGGAGTTCTGTGAATTATCTAAGGACTTGGAGTTTTATGGTTCTTTTGGGGGGAAATGGAAGTTCAGTGTATTCACATAGGCTTTTGCAATACTAGTTCATTTTCTGTGAGCTGAGTGCCTCGATTTGAGAATTGAAGTTGCACAAATTTTGCACATTTAGTTCCTTTTTCTGTTTTACATTTGATAGTGAGATAAAACCACCACCCACTGATGCTACCTTCTGTGAAGAATTCCCAGCAGGTGAATGGGAGACGGTGCAGCTGCAGGGATGCTGGAAAAATGGTCAAAGTGCTGGAGGTAGCAGGAACTTCCCCTCCTTCCATATCAATCCCTGCTTTCCCCTCTCCATTCCTGCAGGACCGGGAAAAAGCAGTGTGAAAGTTACCCTCCGTCAGCACTGTCAAGATAGCAAGTGTCGTCCAATAGGTTTCCATATTTTCCAGGTGAGGCTTTTGGTCAAAGTGATTGTTCATTTGCCAAGTATAAAGGTAAGCCTGTCAGTCAGGTCATTGCATCTTGCCCTGGGCAAGGGAAATGCTGCTTCTAGGAAAAATGCAGGCTGATCGTGTGAAGTAATGCATGTGAAAATAACTACATACTGCTTGTAACCAGATGTCTGGTTCCACTGAATCCTTCCAAAATCCTAGATTAGTTTAGAAAGGATGAACTCTTGAAGATGGCTTTTAGGATTAATGCTGTAGCAGGTTAACCGTGAATAAAACTATGCAGACAATTTTTAAAAAGTGTTTTTGTTTTGTTTTCAGTTTTTGCCCAGATGCAAAGAATTCTCAGTGTCTTAGTGACTGAGGACCAAACTTTTTGGTAACTCTTTATTAAAAAAAAAAAACTTTTCTTCATCTCTAGTAATTATTTGCTTGTCTATTGGCAAGTGATACTGAACCTTCAGACAAGATCAGAATTCAAAAAGGCTTTGGTAGGTCGAAGAGATGATCTGAAACAAAACTAGGTGTGATCTAATGTGGACAAGTGCAGGTTCTACATGTGTGTGCCAGTGATCAACTCCATAAACATAGGCTGGGAAACATCAGGTTAGGTGGCTGTTTTGCCCGGAAAAATATATAGGCTATAGTGGAGCATGAACTCAAAATGAATCGATCTCATGAGGCTTGGTAAGAAATCAGTAAAGATGAAGAAACTTGCATGTAAAACAAATGATTCTTATTTATTTATTTATTTATTTATTTATTTATTTATTGCTTTTTGCTTTACACAGCAGAGGTCTGACTTCAGCTTACTTTATTTTCTGAAAAAGTGTTTTAAAAAGATGTCGCCCAAGCGGCGAGACTGGAGTTGAGCAAGGATGATCATATATCTAGAATATTATATATGTGAAGAAAGATTGAAAGAATGATTTTTTTTTTTTTATCGGAGACTGATGAGAAGTATAATAAAAGTTTTTAGTACAGAAAATTCCACTGGAAAGAGGAAGGACACAGTTTATTCACCTGACCCATGAGGTGGAAGTGCAGCAAGGAAAATTGAGGTTAGACATTTGAAACAAGCTTTAGAGCTATATGGGTAGTGTCTTGCATAAACTGTATATAAACCTGCTAGGAATGATTTAGCTTTATTTACTACTGCCTTATGACAGGAAGTGTGAACTAGAAGATTTCTTGAAGGTACCCCCCCCCCAACCTTATTTTCTGAGGTTCTGTACATAAGGGTGAGCGTTTGGAGTGGAATAGATGTGGAACACGTAACACTTTAAACTTGCGAGATCTTGACTATTTAAAAAGATATGCATGTGTTCATTCTTTTTGGCAGGTACCTAACAGCAATTGGGAACCACATACTTCCTCTTTTATACACTTGGAGCCACTGGTTAGCTGTGTACCTCACTGCTATTCACAGGAAGTAAGCCAACTTTGCAGACTTCCTGCAGGAAGTTACATAATTATACCTTCTACGTACTTGCCAAATACAGAAGGCAATTTTACAATAATCATAGCAACCAAGATAGACAGGTAAAAATATATTGCCCTCTGTTTGCGTTTATAGTATTTTTTTAAGTGCTTGTATTGCAGAATGTTTGGGTACAGTAACTGTAGTAATGTGTTCTCACTTTTTATAGAAACATTTTTTCTATTTAGTCTTTGTATTGGTGTTTCATTCTCAAGCACCACTTACATACAGCTTTGACTATATTGGAAGAATGACTAAAAAAGTAGTATTTGTTCACCTTTCAGCAGTTGCTGAGTAACAGGTGCCCTAGGCTGCTGGAGAAGATGGCACTGAAGCAGCAGAGTATCAGCTATATCCAGATATTAGGATTTATGTCAAAGCTTTGCTGTTTTTTTTTTTAACAAACAGTGTTGTTTTTGAGAAACTAATGAGTTGCAAGACTTATTCCAGGTAGTTGCTCCTAGTGTGAGTTATAATAGGTCTGAATCAGGGTTAGTAGGTTCCCTAACCTTCCCTGTGGGTAAGGTTGTCGAACAAAGCCTAGCTTAACGTTCTCCTCTTCTTGGAGTGGGATGAAGTGATGGATGTTTGCAAATATCCCAGTACTTGGAGTAGAAATAAGTGTGTTTTTGATTTTTATTTATTTATTTTGACAGGAAGCGCATTCACAGCCAGGAGACACTTGGACAGGTGTTACAAGAAGTGAGTGATACACTTCCATTTGTTCGGTTGCTCTAAAGGTGACGCAGAGGCATCATCAAGGCTTACGTATTAGCTAATATTGAGAGTTGTGCAATAGCAGATAGGACTTTGAATGTTCTCATTTAGTTGCTGCACACTGGTAATCAGTGAAGCTTTAAAAAAAATCAGTATTTCAGAAAATCTTTGTTTTTCTTGGTTTCTCAAGCAGTGAAATAACAGTTGTAAGCAACTACTAGACTTTGTCTTCTCACACGACTCAGATATGCGGAAGCTTCTCTGGCTATTTTCTGAAGTCGTTATTTTCTCCTTTGAGTCCTTCCTCAGTGCCTAGCTCCGCTGTGATGTCTGTGAGAAAGTGGATAATTAGTGATGAGTAGATGGTAGTACTTCAATTTTGCATTTACTTTGAAAAGAATAAACACTCTGTGTTTGGATGTAATTTGATATATTCATTCTTCTTTGTCACCATAAATCTGCTTGCTTTGTTATATGTTGTGGTCTTCCTCCATCTGGTTGACTCTGGTATTGGTTGGGACTCCTAGGTGTTGGTATTTAGAAATCCCAGTAATACTAAAATCTTGTGAAGACACTTTAAAAAAACAAAACAAAACAAAAAAACACAGCAAAAATAAAAGAAAAGGGAATGGGCAGTTCAAAGACTAGCTTGTGCCATATTTGGGTTTCATATTTTACTTGCTTTTCCTCACAAGCCTGCACACAAAGTATCCTATAATTGTAATCTTCACTGGTGTGTGGACTATTCTGATAAAGTTAACCTAACCTATTTAACATTTTGATGATCATATTTTGCTCATTTAGCTGTGCGAGCACTGGCTTGTTAGCACTTACGGTATTTTTACTTGGTGGAAAGGAGAGCTTTGAATGTGTTGCTTCAACAACTATTTAAAGATATCTGATTTGGTTGGTGGATCAAAGCATGGTCTTGATGATACTCTTTGCTTATTACGTGAGATCAGGACCATCTAGGTACTTGGCCCTTTCTCTCTGAGGCTTTGACAAAAACAAAACAAAAAAATCTGAGGAAAAACTCTCCTCACTCAAGATTAGAACTGGCTTACTAATTTTCCTGTTCTAGGTCATGTTGACCAGTGATTACATTTTGTCCTTAAAACCACACAAACAGTATGGATTTTATGTGCTTCACGGAAACTGGCAAAGACCTGTATGTACTTTTCTCATGGTGCCTGTTGTTTTAGTATTTAGAAGCCAAAGTATGTAATGAATCCTTTATTATTGTTGTTTTGGAAACAAAACATTGCAAGGCTATTATTACAGAAGAAAGGATATATGCAAAGATATTTTATAATATTAGTCCATAAAAGTGGTTGGACCTGGGAAAATTGGGCTTGCTGAAATCAAGGGAAAAAATAATTCAGGATTCTTCAGGACTCGGAAAATTTGGAAGTGGCAGTTGTCCGTGCCAGTGACAGATCTTGTTGATCTCTGAATCTCATCTCCAAGAGGACAGGGCTTTTCTAAAGACTGGATTTTAAATCATTTAATGCTTTCAGAGGTTTAACCTCTGAAGGGTTTAGGCAGTCTGCCTCACTGAGAAGATGAGCTATTAATGTGCATCACAGCAGAGCTGGATGTCAGTGGATTTTTCTGCAAGTTTGTCTATATGACTTCTAACTACTGAAGCGATGGGATTTATGAGTTTTGGTTTTATTAAGTTGTTTCACAGGAAGAGCTGGCATGATGTTATTTGGCCTTAATTTCTAAGTCTTTCTTTTCTCTGTTTTACTTTAATTCTCTATGAAATTCCTTTCCTTCTTGACATCTAAAAGAAGTTAGCTCATGGAATAGCTTTCTTTCTGCCTTGTTCATTTTCCTGTAGGTCTCCTTTACAACTGTGATGAAAAGGTAGTCTGGAATTCTCACACTGTCGTTTTGGGAAACACTGGAAAGCCAAGGAACGTCTCACCTCCTGCTGTTTCCAGTTTTAAATGGAGTAACAAGAAGATAATCTTAGCCCAGTTTTTCACTGATACCAACTGTCAGGCCTACAGTGACTTCTCTGTAAAAATACCTCCTTAATCATACACACTCTGAATATTTGTTCTTTCTGTACTTTTTGGAACCAGCATTGTACAGCGGGTCTTCATAAGGTACCTCAGTTCTTCACAAATGCAGGTGGAGAATACGTGCATGTTTTAATCCATGCTACCGTTTTAGAAGAAAAGCAGAAAAACGTATATGCATAGTGAAATAATATTTGGGAGAAAATATTCGTGCTTACAGAGCAACTTCAGGAGACCAAAGTGGGAACATGGAGAAAAGAAACTGGAGTCTTTTTTTTCTGGTAGAACATACCTCAGGAACCGTCAGAATACACTGGAGTAGAGAAAGTCAAAGTTGGCATCCTACACTGCCAGTCATGCTGCTTGAGCACTTTTATCATGGACCCTTTGCTAAACCATGTAAATGGTAGGTTGAGAAGGAAGATTTTTGGTGAGTTTTTCTTTAATGAGCCACCACAAAGGAAAAAATTTAAGACTTGAAAACTTTTATTTATGAACTATCATGTGGGACTGCTTTTGTAAATCTCTAAGAATGGTGTTTTAGGCAAGATTTGCCCTCACTGTAAGAAAAACAAAGTTTAAGAGATTTTTTCCTTAATTTCTGTTAGAAAGTATTTCTTACTCAAGGAGGGTTTTTTAGATAGTATATTTTCCTCAATAAAAATGGAGTAATGTTATGAACTTTTACAATGTCTTTTATTAAAAAGGTGAAAACTGCCGATGATGTCTTTGTTTTGTGATAGTAAACTTTGCAATGTGTTGGAGCTCTGGTGTTTTTACTAAATGGGAGATGAACACTGGAAATAGAAGACTTACTCTCCTCACTAATATTACTAATATTCTACTTTCGCTTTTAACTACATCCCAGCATAATTTGCTTTTGGTCCCATTGAACTTTGAAAACCAAAACCATCTTGCAGCTGAATTTTAAGTGGTCAGACCTTTCCACATCTGTTGTGGAAGGATGAGGTAACAAAAGGAAACACCACGAGTACCATATCTCTAATGTGCAAAGGACTGTATCTGGTGCTTGCCTTAACAAATATTGGCATCTTCTTTTATTATCTTCATTTCTTGAAAAGGCTATTACTCTCAAATAGTAAATCATTGAAACAATAGTGTTTCTCAATAGAGGTCTAGTAAAAGAAGAAAAGCTTTGTGAGAAGAGCACCTGGATCCGAGAGATGTGGTAAAATAGGAAACAGATACTGAACAAGTAGTTGAAAGGTTTTCTAAAGGAACTGTGATAGAATAGGCCCTATTCAGCAAACACTTATTCAGCAAACATTGACGTTTGTTACAATACATAATGCTCCTAGGGAGTATGGAAGGAAAAGGAGTCAAAACTGAGTGTATGTACTCTGGTAACTTCTGCAAAAAGATACAAGAAAAGAACCGTGAAGAAAAGAACTTTTATGAATGCAGAGGAGTGAATAACAGCATGCTGAAATAAAACTTTAATTTGTACGTCCTTGCTGCATCAGAACAGTTCTGCTATTTTGACTGAGCACACATGCAGAAAGCTCTGCTTGATACAGATCACTTCTCTAAAATACTGCATCTAACTCATTGCTACTGTGAGTATGTAAATGCTTTATTTTTTTTTTCTAACATGTTATTGTGTACTTTTATATACCTAAGACATGATTATATGAGCTTTGGCAAAAACATTTATTTTAATTTCAAAAAGCTCAAATGTCCAAGGTCAGACCTCCTAAATAAAAAAAAACTTCCATGTTAATTTGCTATACTGAGCTACCTAAATGTGAATTCATATGAGATACATGTTTTAAAAATATTTATGATTATAGACTGGCAGAAGTGCCTCTGTTTTTTAGTATGTTGCAGACTAGCGTGGAATAGCACAGAGTTTATATGGATGTGGCTGCAATATTGCGCCCAAAATATACTCCAGATTGATTTCTTTTACTCCCTCAGGGAGCTGGAATGTGAACGCCCGAAGCAGGTTGGTAAAGAAGATGAACAGTTCAACCCGTGCCATCTGTTCCCCCAAACATACGCGGTGCCCTGTAGAAAATAAGGAAAGGGAGTTAGTTGTGTAAAGCTAAGTTCTGAAAAATAACTCCAGACAAAATTCTACTGAGTTCCATAAACTCTGTTGATTTAAGTTAATTATTCTCATATAAAGAGAGAGGATGATTTTTGGAGGGAAATATTTGCTTTTATTTAATTGAGAAATGATATCTTTGGTGATGCCAAAATCCTTTTTTTTTTTTTTTTTTCTTTTCCTCTCTTTTCTTTTCTGGAGCATATATCAGATTCTTCCTTTTCATTTTTGCTTCTTGTCCTCTCTGTGTTGAGTTCTGTGACAAGTACAAAGAGCTTCTCGGTTAAGGAGCCAGATTTTTAAAATGCTTCATATATATTAGAGTCTTGTCTTTGGGGGTTGAGGGGCAAGAACCAGAGCATTGTGGGATACAGTTCTGAAGATAAGTAGAAGGATGTAATTAGGCTTATTCCAACGTTGCTAGAAAGAAAGAACTGCTGGATTTGGTCCGCATAGCACAGTATCCTCTCCGTCTGTCCAGCAGCAGGTATTTGAGGTAAGGGAATGAAACCTAGGCATATACAGAGTGATGTGTAGACTCAGTGACTCATTTTGACTTATTGTTTTCACAGTGTATTTCAGCATTCACAGACTGTGTCACCAGAACCACCACCAAAGAAAGTAAAGCAGAAAATTTCCTATGCCCTGGTTAAAATGGTAACTTAAATTAGTTGTCTTCATTCATGTAAACTGGTGGACATTTGGGGAGCAAAGGAGGTAAGATGCTAAGTTATTTTTGCAAATATGGTTTTAGGATTTACAGGCAATTTGGGCACATGGTTTTGAAAATTGGATTTACTATGTTTAATCTGACTGCTTTGTACATTATTTAGGATAGTAATTGCTTTTTTTAATCTGCAACAAATGAACAACAGTATAATCTTTCACTGTAACATAAAAAGTTCTCAGCCTGCATTGGTTCTGGGAGTAAATATGCTTCCAGTGTTTTTATTGCTTGCTTTTTATATTTAAATTTTAAGTAAGTAATGCCAGCTTCCTGTGTTGCGCTGCTTTTCCTTATAGTCTGATTACTGGAGAGGCTGATGAGAATATTCTCCAGGCTATGTTTTGTTCTGCTTTTCACCCTCTTCTTTTTCTTTTGTTTTCTTTCCCTTTGCCTGTGTATTATTGCATTGTAAGTTAGGTATTTCTTATCGAACGCTACAGTATTGCTTTTGAAAAGTTTAATTTTTTGGATTACAAAATAATATTCTCCTGAATAGTTTTTTGGAGATACTGGAGAAGCTGTAGCTAGATTATTAGTATAGGTTTTAGGAGACAGAGGTTCAATTTCCTGCCTTATCACATATTTCCTGTGTATATTTTGACAGGTCATGTTACTTTTGTTTTTTTTGGGTTCCCCATTTGTAATATGAGAGTAAATCAATTTCCTGACGTGAGAGTTTTAGGAGGATTTAATAGATTAAGGGCTGTGGGAAGCTCAGATATCCTGATAGTGGGGTATCCGTACGTATACCAAGAAGATAGCGTTATGTCTCCTAGCCATAAATGTCCTGTTTGAATATATGCAAACATAAAATGCAAGACAAATCCTTGCAAGGCCCTTGCAGTAGAACACCTAACTTTAAGTCTTTGCGTAAAACATAGTTTTTTATAAAAGTGTTTCTAAAGTTGTAGAGCTGAGAAACTTAGAAACATTAGTATTTTTAGTTCTTCCTCCAAGACACGGTAAACAAGAAGATTAAAATATCAGGGCATTACCTGCTGAGAATGGTAAGAATGCTTCTTTATTTACAAAGTTGCCATCCAAATCAAGGAAATGATCTGGGTTGAATTTCCAAGGGGTCTCCCAGTGCTCAGAGTCATACACAACAGAGTGCAAATTTGGCAATACAAGTGCGCCCTGCAAAAAGAATCAGAGATTGTATTTTCCATGTGTTATTGAATCCTTGTTGGTCTTTCCTTCTCTGTAGCAGATAGTGTGCCATCCTGTGTCTGTGCCTGGATTCTGCTCTGCCTTTTCCTATAGCCTGTGCGTTCAAGCATAACAAACCATTGTATCTTCTGTTTGTTGTAAGGTATTACATGTTTGGCTCTGTCTATATGTTACCTCATTTCAGGGCTACCTAAGTCTCTTCCTATCTGAGCCAGATTGCAGTTTGGATCATTTTAGGTACTCATCGGACTAATCATATCAGGTTCCTTTTTTTGTGCTCCTCAACCCTATTTGGCTACTGGGAAAGGAGACTTCAGTTTTCACGTTAATTGTTTGCTACTTGTGCCATTAGCCTTCTCTTAAATTTTCTTTTGCATGTCCTTATGTGGACTTATCCCTGGTTCAGGGCAGTCAACTTTGTTTCCTGATTGTGACTGCTACCATATGCTTCCAAAGCCAAGTGAAGAATTGCAGATGATAATGTGATATAAATACTAAATATTAATAAGTGAAAGCTATAAGAAACATGAATATGCACTCTGTACCTTTTTAATGTGAAAGCCCAGCAAAGTTGTATTTCTCACACATTGTCGAGGGACCCCAACAGAAGTAACGTTGCTGTACCGCAAGATTTCATGAATCACGGCGTTTGTGTATGGCATTTTTTTACGATCTTCATAACTGATTAGTTGGGAGGGCTCCAGAACAGCTTCTATCTCTCTTTGAACCCTTTCTGCAGAGGAATGAAAATATTTTAACTTCTTTTACTTTCCTTTGTTCCTAGCAGTTTTCTGGATGTGATCCATGATTGGGGGAAAAAATAAATTGTGTTGCCATAAAATGCCTTGGCATGGGGTTTGACTGCTGTCTTGATTTTGGAAAGGGCATATTCCCAAAGCACAAGATGATCTCTGACTTAAGACACATCCCACTTGGTGATGAATGCGTTTCCAAAAACGATTAAACTTTGAAATGACAGGCGTCATTCTTCTGTATAAGTACATATCAGACTAGGTTCCTCTTTAAAGCTTGTCCACTTTGAAGGTTAGGAAAAGTCTCATTAACATATGAAATTATGTCTTTAGTTTGCTATTCTGCCTTTGTTTTATCTCACTAGAAGTGGATGGTAGTAGCTTCTGTAAGCTTCTGCTTGTGTTGCTTCTTAGAGAGCTGATGGGGAAAATTCATGTTTGTTTCTTAAGTTTAAGTTTAATTACTTAGATCTCAATTACTGACGTATCACCATTTGTGTTATTCATTATTAACAGTTAATTTTGATGTATTTCCAAGTGGCTGAGCTAATACTTACAGTGTAATGATGTTCATTATGATATAATGTTGAATGCCGGTCTCTCTGACAACGCGTTATGCTCACCTTGTATTTTTGGATGTTTTACCATATAGAGCAGTGCCCAGAGAAGGGTGGTACTTGTTGTTTCTGTCCCTCCCAGCAAAAGATCAACCACAGTCTGAACCATATTGTCTCTATTAAATGTAGAGGTAGGGTCATCCTCGGTCTGTAGGGAATATTCACAAAAAGACTGTGAAGTGGATAATTTTAAACATACTACTGGTCATGTAGAAATTGGCATAGCTTGATGAAAACGGTGAGCAGTCCACGAAAACATCTTCTGTGCTAAACAAATGAAGTATGCGTGTAAAAATTGTATAGCAATATTTGAACAGCAACTGTTTGTAGTAGGCACTAAAGCCAAGGAGAGGCTAGTGTGATAAACAGATACTTACTTTTGCTATTTGAGCCAGGTAGAAGTCAATGAGATCCTGTGGATCACGTGCATTCTGTCTCTCATGATTTTCTACCTCATTCATAACTAAATTGTGCATGAATTCATTGTATGCAAACACTTCCTGATGAGGTCCTGGGAAATGATGCATAAGCCATGGAAAAGCATCATACATCTGTGATTTTGAACAGAAAGGAAGAAACGTGAGCTATTTTAAATTGATTCTGATTTCCTGATGACTGTATGGAGTCACTGCAATGCATGGGCTTCTAATTTGGATGAGAGGCAACAGACACAAGTTGGAGCATGGGAAATCTTATTAGATGTAAGGGCTTTCATTTATTTATTTATTTATTTATTTAACCACGAGAGCAGTCATATACTGAAACAGGTTGTCCAGAAAGGCTGTGTGGACTCTCCATCCATGGAGGTGTTCAAGATTTGACTAAACCAAGTCCCTGAGCAACCTGATCGAGTTTGACCTTCTCTGAGCAGGTTGCTGGACTAGATGACCTTCAGAGGTGCCTTCCAACCTAAATTATTCTGCGTTTCTAATGGGGATTATGAAGCCTTTACGTTGCCCTGTAAGTAAACTGGCATTGAAGAAAACTTGCTGGAGATGCATTAATGACCTATTGATGATGTTCAGTAGTCTAATTTGTAATGATTATGTTTAGGGTCAATATCCAATTGCCAAACTTTTTATCCTTATAGAGAGGTTAGAGACTGAAAAGCTGTGTGGAAGCTGACCTGACCTTTCAATCTTAGAAGGGTTTCCTCTAAGAGAGACCGGTAGGTGTATTTGTTAAGGAAGAGCATTTTCTTTTCATTTGTTTGTGTTGTGTATGTTTTGTTGTGGCTGGACGTCAGTCCACGGAACTTCTCCTTCCCTATCACAAACTGAAGTGTCAACATCATGTGATAAGTGGTCACAGGAGAGCAGCATCTAATATTGCAACAAGGGTTTCTGCAAAAGGGTGGGTCAGAGTAATTGTGGGCTGAATCTGGCTCACAAGCAGAAGGCTTTCCCAACCTTGATTTTATTATTTTTATTTTATTTTTTTACTTGATGTTTAAGGCATCTCTATATGGAAGAGTTGGAGAACCTGTTACAGTTACAGAATGCTAACGTCCCATGTCAGCACAACCGAAGTGATGCTTAGGCTTTAAAGAACTTAAAAATATTCTTCTGTCATGATGAAATTTTGTGGCTCATGTCTCAGAGAAGTTCAGATTAACTCAGGTCTTGATAGTAGCATCAAGTGCATAAGAAGTAAGATATCTTCTCAAAAGGTTAGGACTTGGAAAGCGTAGTTCTTATTAACTGAACTTTTATATTTTGATGTATAGATGAAAATTATTACAGTTTGCTTTAATTGAGGATTATGTGCACACACAGTACACTGCAAGTGGTTCTTGATTTGAAATACATTGTATATTTTGGAGCTCTGCTGAAAACAATAATTACTTAGAATTTGAACTTTAGGACCCATGGGTTACTGACACAAGGAATATGAGGAAGTCATGAGATATACAAGGTAGCTATTAATTTATTGCTGTACAGTATTTTGCAAAGCAATGGTATGGAAAGGTTTGGGAATAATGGTCACTGGCATTTAATTCATTTTTTTTTTAAACTTGTGAAGCACAGATGTACCTTAAAGGAAAAAGAACAAGGAAATTAAATTCTTACCCTTCCCCAGACAGTAGCTTGGAAGTAGATCACAAAATGAACAGCTTTGATTAGCTTGCTGAAAGATTTGTCCTCACTGGAGAAGCGATGACCAAAAACAACAGCACAGATTATGTTTCCAATGGCATGGACAATGAAAGTATGAGGGTCAAAAGGTTTGCCTGTGAATATAACAATTACTAGTGAATATCTCTGAATATACTACAGTGAGAAGAATGAAGGAAGAGGAGGAATTTTTTTTACGCTAACAGTGACAAAAGTTCAGAGAATAGAAGATCACACTACTAAGTAAATTTCACCAAGCGAACTCTAGTTTAATACAAATCAAGTGGAAGTATTAGAAGTGTAGGGA